CGGCTCATGTATTTTATCTAGCAAATAGCGAACGTGTACCTGACGACCAAGTGTTGCAAAACTTGCTCAGGAGAGCACCTTCTGTGCCAACGGATCAGGAATGTTAACTACCGGGATCAAACGCCACCCAATTCGCGGAGACAACCCTTCGTTAGTTAAAGTTTTAAGGCCTCACGCGCATTCTTAACGCCTACTTCAGTTTCCGCTCAGCGTACACCACCCAAGCCTGTTAGCACTAACACGACCTCATCACCTTCGGATTGTTTCACTCGTAGTTGTCTTTTTCCATCTCCAATTTCAGCTTAAACTGAAAACATAAGACGAAGCTTATTATTCTAATGGAGTACTAGTTATGCTTCATCGCAAAATCAGGAGTGGAGCCCTAAATGTAAACGGAACTAAGCGTCAATACACCTACTGAACATTGGTCCACTCGCAAAAGCAGTTTCCACCATTTCTTACAACTTCTAGTTCAGGTCACGATCCCATCGCCCCCCCGCTTCCCCCCAGTATTGATATAGACGGTTGCTTTGACGATGGATATATTGTCCGGACTTGTTGTCTTTCGAGGCGGGAAATTATCCCTCCAAATTCTTTACGTTCAGAAGATTAAACCAACAAAATTTCACCGCTAGGGTTGATAAGTTTTATGATGAAATTTGTCGACTTCAATATCAGTCTTATACCTGAAGCAATTAGGCGTTACCGCTGCAGCCGGAAGGTGACATGAGTATACCCACTCACCAGCTTTTAAAGGGACACAGAAAATCTCTTGGCCGCAATAACCTTGCCATCCTAGGTAGTTGTTGCCGACCGGTACTCTTACCGACGCTAGTCGCGTGACTTGCTAGTTCAGTCTGTCAGAGATGTAGGTCAGTCATTAATACTGTCATCGATGTGAATTCGTAAAGGTACATTTGATTACAGAGAACCCCAACGAAATTTGCCACCATGTTGTGAAGTTCAGCCACACGCTCAGGCTATAAGACCACTGAGTGATTGTGGCAACAAGGTGCAACGGAATACGCGTTCGTCTAACTTGTTATCCCAATTTCTCCAAATGTCTCAGATGTAGAGCCGTCCTCTAAATTAGGTTACTTCTCGTCCCACTTTAATTGAATCCACACAAACAAACCGGTCATAAGTGCATCCATTTACACCTATTAAAATGTCCGGTTCTCAACGGGAGTCAAACTTTCCCCAAGAATCAATGTGCGTACCAGCTTCTCCCATGGAGAAAAGTGGGGATTCCGCCCAATGTATTCATAGTGAAGATTCCACGGATAAGTGCGATATGTTTCTTATACTTTTGTGCTTGAGTTTGGAGATCTCACAATGGTAATGATACCAGTGTCGTTATAAGCCTTGGCTGCTTCACTGATGACCAGCCATAGTTCCACCTAGCCATCTGTTTATTTTCATTTCAAAACGCCATTTCTAACATTCTTTGTGGTCGTCTTAAGTGCCCAGAACATGCTAGATCTCACTGTGTACTACAAAAAATAACCGTTTGTCTTAGCATGTAAAAGAGTGGAAATCTGCACCTGGTAGCAAAATTTCTAAATTTGACATAAGTCACACGTATGACAGTTCACAAATATTGAATGGAGAATACAGAACTATAACATATTACCCAGCCGTATTTAGGTATGATACAAGCTGACCTCACATCCATATAACTGTTTATATTCGTAAGCCAATACGCACAGCGTGTCCGAGCTTCTCCGAGTATAGAACTGTGTTTTTCTTCATCCATAGCAGCTTACGATATTTGCACTTACCGAACAGCGAATATTGGTTGACTGAGACAACCCCTGAAAGGTGTGCAGACAACCTCAGGACCTCTCGGCTGTCTCCTAACATGCAATAAATCCTTCATACACACTAGTGTCCTAACCGACATCACTCCGCAGAGCCGTTGGAGCACGAACGAAGCGACAGACTTTATTGTATGCGACACCGGTTTATCAAGCCCCCACGTACGCGTATATAGATAGGTCATGTTTCCTTCCCACAACGCAGCACAAATGGAAAATAACTACTCACCACCGGGTAATTAATATGGCTTTTACAACAATCTAGAACAATGATCGCGACGACCGAGAGGTCAGTGAGAAGGCAGTCATGTTACAGGTCAAGGCGTCATTTTAAGTGGCACCTTAGGGATGTCCAAATCCCAGGTGGTTCGTTGTACAAGGTCATCACACGTCGGTTAAAGCGAGCGATGAGATCAGGACTCGATCGATCTTCATGCTGTGTACCATATCCGCCCACAGATGTCCTCCAGAATGTCCGGGTTAATGCAGCCCACAGAACATTCAACAAATCTACCTCGTCCATTCCGTTCATTCAGTTGTTAACTAGGAAGTTCCAACGCCACAACAGTCAGCATTTGGGAAGTGGGACCCAAGCCCCTCGTGAGGACTTTAGGATTATTCAAGTCAATTTAAAGCCCTGCTTCTAACCAGTGCACCGCCGAATCTCTCCGTAGATCCTAGTGTTCAAGCTCCTTCCTCGGTGGACATACTATGTACCTCTTGTGTTCTGCTAACCTCGTGTGTAGTCTCCTGGCGATTTGGTCCAAGAAACACTCACAGAATATTTGAAGCGAATTTTGTAGACGCAGCTGATCATCCTATCTTTTGGGAGTGTGTCCCTCAAATGCACCAGTGTCACACGGATAGTTTGACCTTCTGGAAAATCACCCTTATTTTGTACTGTTTCATATCCTCCCTACTCTCTCTGGTGTGCAGTGAATATAACTTTAGTCCTATATGTATCTAGCATTTCTCTAATCGTCTCCGGTACCCACTGGTTCATTACCTACTCCCGTGCGGCATATATATCCCCATTCTCTGTACACGGTGATCTGGGCTTTGTAACAGAAAGATGAGGCGATTCCAGCAAATCCATGTTCTGGGTGACATGCTTTATGGTGCAGTACCCAAACGGCGTCTGTAGGTTTACGGAATATGGTTATTTTAGATTAGCCATATTCCTATGAAGTAAACAATCAATGAACGGAAGTGTCTTATTGCACGCTACGTATTCTATCATGAAGTTTAAAGCCTCATTAAGCTTAAGTGATCTAGAAACTCAAATTTCTTATCCCGTTTGGTAACCACAGATGTGTCGTCCACGTGGTTTCACTACATTTTCGGCGAGCGGTCACAGCTAGTCAACACCATTATTTCGGATTCTTCTGTGCACAAATTTGCCAACACTGAGGATAGTGCCGATCCCTTGGCAAAATCTAGTTCCTGTGTGATGAAACTTGACTGACTGTGAAACAAACACATGCTAAGTTGAATGGTCATTTCCAGGATTATTTGAGCCTACAAGCTTTGTCCGCCCTCCAAGGTAATTGCCCTCGGTTGAACAGCGTCTCGCTGTCTCGAACGCGTCGCATATTGATACGTTAGTAATGAATAGGCTAGCGTCGATACCAAACATCACATCGTGTGACTTAATATAAATATTTGTTAGCTTTTGAGCAAACGCAACAGAGTTCTTTACAAACTTAGTAGTTCGTCTTGTCAATGGTTACAATAAGTTAGTGAAATATCCAGCTAACGCGTGTCGGGGAACCCATACCATTAACGGTAGGCAGGATGAGTAAGTTGGACTTATGTGCCTTCGACAAAATACACATCCTCGGTGGAATCGTTGATTTCGTGTATACGTTGTATCAAGTATCCGGCCCTAAATAATCCTTTATGTTTTTTAGGAATTGCCAACATTCGTCTAATCCTTATTCATCATTGAGATGACAGTTTTATTGTCGGTCCCATTACCACGAGTTCCACCGCTTTTCTCAAATTGTCCGACTTGTTCATAACCAATGCGGTTATACCTTTATCAGCTTTCGTGATAATAATGCTCGGATCTGTACTTGGTGCCATTAATGCGACCCGTTTCTCTGCGCATGATTCAGCTCCCCTGCTGCTGAAATTAAATACCATCTGCAAGCACACCAGAAATACTTTCAAATACTTTCAAGGCTATGAATACTTTCTTCTGTTCTAATCTTATTTTTAGTTATACTGTATGTCAAACATTTCTTGGTTAATCAACGCGCTATTCACTCAACTCCCTAGCTGATGTATTTGCTGTTATACCTAGGCATCTCATTTGGACTAGTGGTCTTTTTACGTATGGACAGCAACTGATCGAACTTACGAATTTAGAAGTCCTTCATTGTGTTGACATCCGAGGCTTTATTGAAAAGTCTGTCAAATTCTCTTTGCCTTACGACGGTCTGCAGCTCCAGATTCAATCGATTTGTGTAGGGGCAAATTGCACTCAGTCGTCTAATCGTGAGATAACTGCGTCGTCCCAAATATGCTTCGTTTGCTTTAACTGGTATTCTGGCAAAATTCTAAGTTGTCCGGGAACAACCACAAAGTTTTGGGAAAGAATGTTGTTTCCCCGGCAAATCATACTGGAAAATTGATGACTCTCACAGTTCCCTTCAGGGTCACCCACTCCAACTAAACTACTTGTTTTCAAAGCCTTAGGAAATCATGAATTTTGGATTAACACCAAGTACGTTTCGATGGAGACCACCAGCGACATCTCTTAGTCGTCTTGTCCCAACTCAGCGTCTCGTACAACATTTTCACGTAAATCGTCGGTCTTCCTCGGTCGACATGCTTAATTTAGCTGAAAATTGCTCAATATAAATCCTCAACGGTTCCTTTGTAGTCTAGCCTCATTGAGCCGATTTATCCTGACTAACGCACGACTCTATTCCGTTGGCGGCTATAGTACAAGTACAGGTATTCATCAGCATTGTTCGTATTCCCCTAAAACCTTAGAACCGTTAACAAATTGTTGACCACAAATCACAACAATGTAATCGCTCGCTGGGAAAGAACTTGACAAAACTTCTGTGTGGTTTTGCTGCGACTCTTCTCATAGCTATACCTTTTATTTCACAGAATGAATGTAATACTACATCAGTGGTCCACTGACCTCACTTTTTTATGATCTTTGCAGAGATGGAACCTCGAGGGTCCAAGTTGGAGAGCAACATGGAAGAGAAAGAACATGAGCCTCTGGAAACGGATAAGAACGTCAACGATGACTCTCAGACTACAGTCCGAACCAGAGTGAATGAAACGAAAGAGATCAGCCACAAAGTGTTCCGAACGTTTGTCAGTGATTCGAAGGATTCAATGAGCTTCGTAATGCCGGAATATTCCGAACTGCCTCATATGCGAGGTAAGGTTGTGTCCAACGGTCAAGAGGACCTAACGCGTGTCTTCTCAACGGACTTCATCGACCACAGCCCCAGAAGCAGTCGGGAAGAGACGAAAACACGTTCAGTGGACCGTCATGAAAGGCGATACATTCCGGTGACAAGAATCAGCTCAAGCAAACCTGAAGTGAAGTCAAAAGATTCGGACACTGTTCCGATGGAAGAGTATGAAAACATGAAGAGACAGTGTGAGCTGGAAATAGCCTACTGGAAACGTATGTGTAATGAGATACATAACGGAGGAGATCAACTCCTAGCAAACGAGCCTTTGCGTCGACATATCGTGAACCTAGAGGCGGAGCTAAGAGACTCGAAATGGTAAGTAATCGAGTGTCGCCGGTTTTCCTACGTTATTCGTGGATTGTGATATGTATACCCGATTGGAACTGAGACCCTATTTGAATTGAACACTGATTAGCTTGGTCACCTGGGACTTAAGCGAAACATCTTATCTATGTCTGTCTGTGGGTTGTGGAAATGTACGAGACAAAATATGGAGTATAATGTTAGATGCTACCATCTAACTATCAAAGCAAAGACTTGTTGCCAAATCGTTACATTTTAATTTAATGATGTCCATACGTTTGTAAGCGCATTTTAACTGGATGTGTGTTTACTTGAAAGCCAGGAATAATTCTCCCTTAGGATGGGCTGTTTAATGTGACTCATGAGCTTAATTGCAAACTCCCTATTAAAACGGCTATTCACAAGAGTACTTTGAGCGTTAATGGGTTTGTGAACCATTACAAGCGCAAGAAATTCATGGTGATGTTAGCTACCTCTGTCGTTAGATGCAAATACCAAACAGTATACGACGTCAGTGAATAAAATATAGCTTTCAGTGCTCAGCTATAAGGATGCTCAGTGGTAACCAACTTTCTGGTGCCAACTGTGTGCGACAAATTTGCTCATAATTTTGCTAGTTGCAGACGGAGATGAGCCTTTGAAGAAATACGATCGATCACAGGCACTAACACGCACTTAGGGGCACAATAACCTGCAACATCCTCTTAGAGGTATTCGATGGGAGCAACCAGGTTTGAGGAATGAAAGAGATGATCAAGTAGCTATACGCGCTCTCTTTATATGCAAACAGGTACTAACACCCTGAATTATGGTCCACCATGAGGCCGGATAAGCGTTTACAAGGAGATGTTTCCAGAAATCCAAAGACAAATGCTTTCATCGTTGTTGCTTTATATCACATTACTGTTCAATACATACATATATATATTTATATATACATATATATACATATTTGATTCGGACACCAAATTGCTGTGCGTCCAGTTAACACAATTTACCTTCCCAGAATAACAACAGGTAACTGCGGAAAGAAATGGGGTTGTATACAAATAGAATACAAATAAAATGCAATCAGAACAGAAAAGCTCAAAAGCTACTAGGGAGGACGTGAATATTAGTAGATAGACACAAGAAACTGAATATAAGAAGGCTCCTGCCTGAGCGACTTCGTCGTGTCTTCTAAGGTCTCCAACCACGGGTGTAGTCCATGCAGGGGCTACCATCCACGAAGACGGCATGTACCATCCTGATCAAAGTTCTCAGTATAATTTCCTCAGTCCTTAATCACACTTATTCGACTGCTCACCTAGCGGTTCCACCCAACTTGGTACAGCCACGGTGTGTAGTGCATGCCGAGAAAGCCGACAACAGACACAAATAAAACATGACCTGGCCAACGTAAGCGGTTAAGATCTAGCAAACATTCGAATGAGGCAACAGAAGGTTTTCTACCATATACCAACTGTCGAACATCAGCATTTATTAGCCAGGATTCCAAATAGATGTGAGTCATAATCCGAAAGCATCGATAATCAAAAACAGCCAAGTGCTTGATGTCATCATCACGAACCTTTTCTGTATCTGATCCAAAGAAGAACACTGGATTTATCGCAGCGCTATACACCTTACCTTTCACTGACCAGCCGATCTCCTGTCGTCTCCATTGATGGTTGAGTCTCTGGAATGCTACAGACCTTGCAGATAGGCGTACTAACCTCCTTAGTGATGTGACCACCAAAGGCGACACAGCTATCAAGTTACGTGAACAAATACACCAATTTCAAGAGTTGTTCCCTGCTAGCTAGATTTGGTGACGTATCACCCCATCCATAAAAGAACAGCTTGCACTTTGCAAGTGTAAAGCTCATGCCGAAACGTTCAGCGTTACTAGCCAACTTCTGCAGTAGTGCTTGCAAAACCACTACATTAGACTCATATTCAAGTTTTGGTAGTCTGCCGCCTGGCAAAACTTCCACTCCCGTAGAGTCTGAAGGAACTGTCATTCATGATCTTTTTGAGTTCAAATCAAACTGTACATGAGTATAAAGCAACCATTATGAACTCATTTGTCTTGGGATATCAGGAAACATCCCCGTAAACTGTTATCCGTCCTCAGGACTCATGGTCTAAGGAATTTAGAAATGCATTTGTATTTCTAATCCTGCGAAAAGGTGGTTTATACTGTGTTAAACCGCATCTGCTTGTCACGTCCCATAAAATTGTCAAAGCGAGAATTGTACAGTCAAATCTTATACATGCGAACAAACTAACACACACATCAGTTCGATGACAGGGTAAGGATATGTTGTGAATGAGCTGGTTAAAAAAGGATTGTACCACGCAAAGTAACGCAACAAATGGTGGTACTCCTTGTGGAGGACAATCGGATAGGTCTGCAGCTCGAAGTAGCTCCGTTCCTCAGGGTCAGTTATATTCCCTAAACTATATTCCACAGCACCACATTCAGGAATCGAAGTAAGGGTGGGTAAAGAAGGGGCAAAGCAGCTGGATTTTTAAAAGAATTTTTAAGGTTGTTGGGTGCGAAGGGAGGAATAGTTTCATTTCTGAGCTAGTCGGCTAGCTTTGTTATTATCGTTTTTGGCCACACTACTAAAGGTTGCGATACAAGTGACTGGGATCGCTCATATTCTGACGTTACTATGACGTCTCTGCATAGCTATCGGCAGCACCCACTAGGCGCTTCGGGATTCTTCTTCCGCTGCTATTATTCACTGTGGTGAAAGTCCATGGTAGACTTTGTTTGCGAGGTCACCTTTTACTCAAGGTTATCAAACATGCATGGCGTACTTGACGTGAAGACACACGCAAGCTTTGAACACCAGAGAGAAGATGGATACATACAAACCCTTTGAGTAGCATACACAAGAGACCAACATGCTCTTCCCCCTTCTTAAAGCGGACTAAGCTTGTCTAGAGAACAGCTGAAGTCTTCCTCCTCCAACCCACCAATGTCGCTTTTAAAAGAAGTCGTCTACAAGTAATGTCCACCAGGATTGCATTCAAACATCACACCTTATCAACTCTAAGAGTAAAAACATTCATAGGTCCTTGGAACCATCTGATAACACATTTTCGCATGTTTAAATTCATCCACTAATGTCTATTCTGCAAATTATTTAACTGATTGGGTTAGCACGGAAACAACAGGGTCAAGGAAGTTGGAGCCGAATCTGTTAAACCCTCCCTCCCTTCTCGGGTGCATAGTGTTTGCAAACGTTTGATCCTTGTCATCTCTCCAACTCATCCAAGCTATCTACTGTAGGTGAGTAGTTTGAAGGGAATTTTCGGGCTAAACTCGACTCCGTAGATGAAATTATGTAAATATAAGCAGGCCCACTAGAAGTCCATTTTGTCTCATTTGGAAGTACAACAATTAAACCCGTATCCTTGCAGCCAGCTGATTGCGGACATAGTGCTCATCTTAGTCGGGTATCAAGTCGGAAGTATGCCAATGGAACAACGAATTTATCTTTTTCCGCAACGTGTCACACAGTCATGGATATGTAAATGAATACAGCAATCGAACGTTGGCCGATTGCAGGAGGAGGTCAAGAAATCAGACAGAATGCACTATCTTCTTCGTATTCGACCGGTAAGCAGACGAAGTGGTGGTGTTCACCTGAGCACCATAGCCACAACCTGGTGCACTTTCAGATAAAAGCCGTGCAAAACTAACGGCATGATGCACGACTATCGGCTTTCGCGAAGCGTCACGATCGATTCCCGACGTGGGTTGAGGAGGCACGTGCAGCTAAAGTGTGTGCGGAGGCGGTGTAATGCGACCTTGGCTCTGGCAATCAAACTGAGAATGTACACACAAATTGCGTCACAAAAGTGGATGAATTTCACTTGCTTTCTCCGGTTATCCACCTCATTTATTTGGATGCAAAAGGAACGCTAATGTAAATACGAAAACAAACAAGAGAAGCATCAGCTATAAATATTTTGAACGTAAAAGTTATAGAGGAATGAGGTCGCTTTTATTACCAAATATTCCGCGCTGGGACGTAACGTCATCATTTCATTATACACATCAGCTAGAGGTGGGAAAACACCTCCGCTATTGTGCCGCAAAATTGACGTAATGTAGGACAAGAGGTTCAAAAAGAAATCCACCAAGGTGTTGTGCACAAGTGTACAGCGTGTAGAGACGCACATGTTTGCCAGCAAAACTCGGCAATCAACAAACTGCTAAGGTATATTTTGCTGAATGTTCTCAAAAAAGGGGTTTCTCTATCGAATCATGTGGTAATATGAACAACAAAAGAACATTCGCTTTTC